CCCCAAAACCCCAAAACCCCAAAACCCCGATATTAAAAATGAAGGTTATAAATTTAAAGAGAGAATAATACTTATTTTAAATTTCAGCTAAAAGGCTAGAATATTAACGATAAAATGAAATCGTAAAAACCTAAAAAGGCTTCAATTATCAAGAAGTCTTTTACAAGCTAGGTATCCCCTAATGTTAGCAGAGTCAGCAATGGGAACTCGTTTGTTGGAACCATCACAACTAAAAGCAGCATCTCTCCTTTCAGTAGCTAAAGAGGCTCAGTATCTATCATTTCTTAAAAGAGAAACTCTAAAGTTTCAGAATAAAAGATAGCAGAATTTTGTAATAAGACGATCAAAGTGCCTTTAAACAAAGATAAAGCCATTGAAAAGTCAGTACAAATCAGAAATCCAAATTAAGTAAATGAGTCGTCCCTGCTTCAGAATTCATTATCAAACACTTTATTTAATGCCTCTCAGCTGTCTAGAGTAAATGACTCTGTTATCTCTACGAGACCTCCTAAACTGGGGTCAGCTCAAGCGCTCATCAATACAAACTCAGTGATTCTATAAGATAATCAATTTGAAATCAATACATTTGGAGTGGTATTGAGGAACACAGGTATGAATAGTAATTGCCGTCCTTCTTCAACTCAGTAATTCTATAAGAGTATTAAGGAAGTAATTGGAAACAATAGAGACTTAGATGTTGTTTTACAAAAAGAGGAGAATAGTGAGATGGAGAATGGTTTGTCTCAGGACATTTACCAGACTAATGGAGTATCTTGTGATGATGTAGCTGATGAAGTCATTAACTCTAATGAATATTAGACGTTCTCCTAAAACCTATTGAAGATTAACGAATAGAAAGGGTTTTAGAATACTTTTTCACCACGTTAAAAGGCTAAGATAAAATCCAAAATTGCACAAAACAAGGAAAACAACTTTAAGTTTTTCACTCCTTCTGCTAATAATTATCTTGAAAAAAATACCACTAACACGCAGGGTGGCATCTCTAAAAATGAAGGAATTGTTAAAACATGCCAGGACTTCATTATGCAATCTGAGTTAGCTGTGAATAAGATGCTTAGTTTTAAGCAAAACATAGTTAAGAAAATTGAAGATTAAAATTCAGAGTATTAAACTCTGCACACTGATATAGTAAAAGTGAATAAGCAAAATGCTGAGATTATAATGTAAATAGACAAATACAAAACCAAAAATAAGCTTTTCAAAGATCAGATTGATACTATTACACATGCAATTAGTGATGTATATGATAAGTAATAAGAAAAGATAGATCTCTATACAAAGGATATTTACAGTAAGCAGAGCAATAAAAAAAAGATGAAAAAGGAACTAGAGACTAACTAGAAGTGTAAAATATAAAGAACTAGATTAACTCAGAATGAATAACAATAAAAGCAGGCTATTGATTATTTGGAGTAATAAATAGATGATAAAAATGCTATGATTTCAGCCCTAAAAAAGAAAATTTCTACTCATAAAGAACAGTAAATGAGTCTTATAAAAATTCTTGGTTCAAGCTTCAAAGAGAATTTAGAAACAAGATTGGGTTCTCCAGTTAGCATGCTCAGCAATGATCTAAGAAAGTCCTAGGGAAGTCCTTTAAATTTTATGAGTGATGCTAGGAAAAGTATCAATTTCTCTTGAATATATTGATATTCACTGAATTACGCATCTTGATTTGTTAATCATTAACTGTTATGGTTCTCTTTTTTTGTTGTTGCTTCATTTCTGGGGTTTTGGGGTTTTGGGGTTTTGGGG